ACAGACTTCTGAATAAACATAAAATGGAAGAACTGCATTACTCCAAACAGAATTAGGCTGCCTTTCTCACAARTCCAGCTATTTCTAACTATCAGGAGACCTTGCTGTTTAAAGAAACCTCAAAGGCAAGAATTAGAGATATTGCTTATGAAGAATTGTGATGACAAGGATGGGGAAAGGTTGCCTAACCCCACTGGTCTGCTTTGTTCTTTCTAGTGTAGCCCTCAAACAATCTGAAATTATATTGCACTATTGTTTAAACCAATTRAATACTAACTGATGGGGTTTTTTGGTTTTCAGTTTTTTGTAAAGTGCTGTGCAGCTACCATTCAAAAGGTAGGTTACTTGCAATTTGGGACCTCCCWCTACAAATACTTTGGCTGTAGTTCTCTAACAAATGTCAGAACAGATTTTTTTCTTATACCTTATGTAGATATTTTTGGAATAAAGAGGCATGCTCAAACAAGGTGAAATGTTTAAACAATTACTGCTTTGTCTARTAAACTTTTTGTAGTTGTTTTGCATTCTTAAAGAAGGAAAAATAACCTAATCAACAAGACTGGCTCTTGTACTGCCTGGTCTAATAAAATTTTACTCCTGTTCTTGTATGAGTGATACTACTAAAAATTTGTCTTGTCTATGTTCAAATAGTGACTCAGAATCTAAATCCTTTTTCTTTTTGTTGGTTTGGGATTTGTTGCTATGCTTGCAGAAAATAGAATTGACATTAATTCATCAAAATTCTCTCTCAACTTCTCCACTTACTTGGTATTCATTTGCAGAATGGAGGATTTGTAGATAAGGTATAGTGGTGTCAGGATTCTTAAAGCCTTTATTTTGCTGTTGGACACTTCGATGCTTTTTCCATATGTTTGGAATAGGGTGTGTGAGACCATAATGAGTGTGTCTTTGAGATAAACACAGACCTTGATCTAAATTCTCCTTCATTCATCACGAGGAGTCCCCGAATGTGCTGRCACCACACAGATTCTCCTGTCTGGAAAGCTCAGCTTGAGCTGTCGATTGGGGTATAAGGCAATTAAATAAGGCAGTCATCATGTCTTGCAAATTCTGTGGTGACTTGTAATGCAGACTATGAATAAGTCAGGTGCAGCGGAGGGAATTGAGACACTGAGGAGGTAGCTGAAACCATTTTTAGATACAGGTATGTATTGAAAGATACTCTTGTTTCAAAAATGGAGATGAGTTGTTACCTCTTTGCTCTAATGTGCAGTGACCTATTATAGTAGCCTACAAAGCATAAGGTAAATAATTCKGAATATGGTGATAAGAAGGTTGACAGAGACTGATCATATCAAAGCATATTTTCTGCCTTACAGTGATACCATATGATTTGGCTCAGTATCAGATGTTCCAGAGATGAAGAGGAAAAAAACAATTGATCTATGCATAGATTTTCTGTTTGCCTGCAGAGTAGTGGACAGTTGCTTTRTATTCCTGGTCACTGCAATCTGCATGTACTTACTGCTCTAGGGGAGATGACAAATTTTCYACCTTATTGTAAAACATGTTTCACCTTGGCATATGGAAACATCATGTTAAATAATGGGAATTTGGTCTTATTCAGTCCAAAATCCTCTTTTAAAACTCCTTTTAACTATATACCCTTACTTTCTTGAATTTAATSTTCCTATAGGTGAAATGGGCACTAGCTTCTTTATAACTTTAGGCTGTTTCCCCTTGAAAAACTGCAGCATAGGCTTACTGGCATTTTAATAGAGCGCTGAGGGACCCCAGAATACATACTTRTATCATACATAAAGCTCTTGCTGCATTTTCTCCTAGTTGCAAACTTGGCAACTGAGCCTGCAGTCTGAATCTTAATCTAGATGCATACTAGTTCTTTGATCACCAGGAGAAAAATTTAATGACAGCTTGGTCAGCCTCTCTGTTAACTGGGGAGCTGGCATAGAATCAGCTGCTGGCTTCTAGTCCTGTTGTGGTATGCTGGGAGACAGATGTAGCTGTGAAAAACCATGGCTGCAGTCTGATTCTCCACTGTTCCTTTCAAGGTAAACYGCCATCTAAATCTAATTCTTAGTGGTGAAACAGGCCCACAAAGTTTAAGCAGTTAAATATTACTGCTAAGGCCTCCTCCTATCAAACCTTGAGAAGTCAAGTAATATTGTAAAAATTCCCATTTGTTGCAAAAACAGCTGTTGGAGTTACAAGTCTATGATATATTAGTGAGACAGGAGGCTTAAGAGTGTTTTTTTGTTTGTTTTTTGGTTTTTTTTTGTTTTTTTGGTTTTTTTTTTTTTTTTTTTTTTTTTTTTTTTTTTTTTTTTTTTTTTTTTTTTTTTTTTTTTTTGCTGTCAAGACCTAGAATTGTCTTTCTGATAAGGGAAATATGTTTGTTTGTGGCTTGGGAAAGCCTGGGAATAGCTTTAATACTTAAGTTGCTCTTAGTTCCTAAAAAAATTSGGACTGGGAGATCAAACACCTCTCTTGAAAAGGTAAGCCAAGCTTACTCCAAGATGAGAAGGCATAAGTATGTTGYAAGTCAGCTGATATGAGCACCTGTCAGTTCTTACCGTACCAACCCTATCAGCCAGACAGGTGATTTGTAAAGGAAGGGCTGTGTGAATTGAAAGCACATTTATACCTTTGTTAGCAAGCATAATTATCTCCCAAAGTCTAAAAGGCCCATTGAAGTGATGGAGTTAGGGTTCACATTCATAGGCAGCAGAGGTGGGAGCAAGGTGTTTAACGCTCAYTTCCAGACAAAATGAGACCTCTGTTGGTCATGGGTGACATTTAAAGAGTCGACAACTCTGCCAAATCCATGCTTCTTTCTCTGTCTGGTTGCTCACAGGCTGCAGCTCTGAGCGTTCTGCAGTCAGGTAACCAGGCTGCAGCAGCTGAGGGGCCGTGATCTTGTTCCCTTTCCACAGCCCCACTGAGCTTCCTCGGCTCTGAGCTGACTTGTAAAGGTTTCTGACCACACCCCAGTTTCAGTGGCTGAATACAAAGGGGAGAGGGGTGAGCAGTGTCTGGGGCGAAAGGATTGAGTCAAACAGGGTGAGGGCATTGAACACTTGTCCTGTGACTCAGTACCCTCCCACTAGAGAACCCTTGTCATATGTCATCATACTGCCCCGGAGCAATTGCTAGGGTCAGAGCTCTGCTGCCCTGCAGGCTGTACAAATAGCTGAAAAGCCGGTCCCTAGCCCTSAGGGGCATCACTTGTGAGAAGACAAATAACACGTGTGAAAGAAGGTGAAAGGGAGAAGCAGTCACCTGTGTAAAAAATTTGCGTGTTCTACATTTCCACTCTTCCTGCTGACTGCATTTATAAACTGAGTAATATATTTGCTGGAGAACAAATGAAAGCTACYACTGTGTTCCTGCTTCAGCTTAGAACTCCTGCTTACGAGAAGTGCCTATTCTGGCCCTTAAAAAAAAGCACAGAGGAAGGGAAAAAAATTCAATAGCCCAGTAATGCTATGGACTGTTGAATCTTGGCATTAAAAATGTCAATGGTAACCTCAACATCTGGCAGCCTAAACTGTATGCAGTATATTTGAGGCACACCTAGAAGGGACTGATTTTTGACAGTACTTTCAAAATGAAGTTTTAAATATTTAAATTCTAATATATCTGATGCATTCAAATAAGGCTTTTCATATCTGGCCATACAAAGATAGAGGAGAAGTTGATTGACAGATGAGAATGGTCTGTCTTACTGTGAGTGGGACTAGCTCAGTGTCCTTTCTCTGCTGTGAATTATTGTCTGTACTTGACAGTCAAATCTGCAATCTATAATAAAAGGGCTGGCATCAGAGATATTTGATTGCACCAGAAGTTCTGTCCCCATGCTCATGAGAAATGTCAAAGGATTGTGAACCTCCTTGGGGTTGGGCTAGATGATCTTTAAAGGTCCCTCCCAACCCATTCATAATTGTCCATCAGGCCTGTGAAAAACAGCACCATTCCATGGCAACRTGGGCTATGCTTAGCCTTCAAGTCTCAGTGAATGGATGTGGTTTGATTTCTCCCTAGAGCTCTGTCGTTAGCTTATTTCACTGAAGGAAAGGACATAAATGGAAAAGAAGATGAAGCATGACCTGACTTTGTTTTGTTTAAGTACTCTCTAAATCTGTGTGRTAACTTCCCTGATCTGCAGGTTAGTCTCCAGGCCATGTAGAGGCATATTCCTAATGTGTTACATRCCTAACAAAGAAAGAAAACATCCTCTCAAATTGCCCACAGCAACAACTTATTCTGTTAAAGCATGCTTCATAAAAGCAGGGAAACACTGAAGCCTAAAATCAATTTATTAAAAATTTTTCTCCCAGTATTTAAAATGGCTGCAGTTTACATGATGGATATATGTACATTAATAAAATAAATGACACAAGTTTATTTTGTGGTTTCTTCCATGTGATGATGTCTTTCTTTGTAAGTCATTATATTCATGTAAGGATTTTTGTGTAAYTTATGGAAAAAATGGCACCATGCTTCCACTGCACATTTGGAGTATGTGTGTAAAAGCAGTGCCATAAGAAAACCATGAAAAGGCATCTTCTGAGCCCCAAAATAGCCATGCTCCTGATTTTGTAGTAGTAGAGACTTTTAATGCTGTTCTACTAGCTTACCTCAATTTTAATCTTGGAAAATATGTCTTTGAAAGCAGGAAATCAAGATCTGCAGTTACTGGAGACTTCTCCAGTGCTGTTTCTGCTTGAATGTTTATCATAGCAAAGTTTGGGGKTTTTTACAGAATTACCCTTAAGAGCATAGGTTGAAGTAACAAGGCTGAAGGTCTTCCCTTTCCAGCTCATTGTCATTCTTTATAATTAAATAAGGAGAGTTTCCATCAGAAGATAGAAATAGCATGTCGAGTCAGTGTTTCAAAACCCCAAAAAACAAACAAAACAAAAAACAAGCAACCAAAAACATCTGACTTTTTTTTTGTTTACATGAGTAAGTACATGAAATATGCTTATATCACATTTATTCATTTTTCTCTTCCTCAGGCAYTTACCAGAAAAAATCAAAGATGATGTTCAGCTAAAGAATATGAGTGGGCAGTGGTTTTATGAGGCCAAGTCGAAGAGGCACAGAGATAAGATCCATGGAGCAGATATTATCAGAGCTTCCATGCGCAGGAGGCCTGCCACGATTGGTAAGCATTTGCTTTGTGCTTTATTTTAGAAAGGCTGCCTCTTCCTTTGCTAACCTCAGATAATGCTGTCTGTGAAATACAAGAATATTGGTGTCTCTACAAGTGGAAAGAGCTGCAAAAAAGAGACTTCTTATGTAATTTACAGTGTAAGCTTTCCTCTCCTCCAATGCTGTATATGAGAGAGAGGCGAAGGTTAACAGAAGGGACTGGCTTGTGTTTATGTGTAGGATTAAAAGCTTTCGGCACTCCTGGACTCCTTGTTTCCATTTCTGAGAGAGTTATTTAAGAACATAGAAAGAATCCAAGATTTGGAAATTCATGTTAAAGAGCAATTTCCTCAGATTTCGGGTACTTGGTTCAAGACCTTTGAGGCYTAATGGCAGGCATTACAAGCTAGAGATGGTGGTTATAACTAACTGAAATGCATGTGCTGAAACCTCTGGCTGCTGTAACTGGCACCCTGTGTCCACATGACTTTTAAATGCACCCAGCATCCCCATGTCATGGTGGGTGCCCTGGTCACCATTAACTGTCCCTGGAAGAGGGAGTGAGTGGTCAATCTGTATTCACAAAAATATATAATATCCAGGATTTTTTAGACCCTCCATTATAAGTTTCTCAGCAAATGACTTTTAAATCTTAAGTATCCTGGTCTATTTTGTCACTTGGTACAGAAAATGATTTTTTTCTTAGCAAAACTGACCTACAATCCCCTCTTAACCTCCTCTAGTTTGACTAAGTCCTTTTGATTTAGAAGGGCAAGACTTACATTATTCTTATCAGATTGTACTGCTGTTTGTACTATTTAGTTTTTTAARTTCTGTCAAGGGATTTTGCCACATGCTAGTGAAGCAACTAAGGTACTTCTCTCCATACTGTGGCTGGACTACAGTTTGCTGCTTTATATAGGTTTTGTAACTACAAGTTAGCCTTGTTCTCTTCTCTCTAACCCCGTAACATAGCACCTTCTCAATTTCTGTCAGAGAAATGGGTTTGAATAATGTCAGTTTAGTCAGTTTGAGGTTACCATTTTGAGTCAAATTAACAAGAAAAGGCTTGAAACAACAGAATGCAGAAGAAGGCATAGTTGGTTAGTGTGGTGTGTTTGTAATTTCGGCTGATTTTGAGCTTGAAGATTATGAAAATCAGCTGTAAAATTCTAGCTAAATTTCATAGTACTCATAGCTTAACGCTTAAAAGCCATATTACCTTAAAGGAAGGTTAGTTAATCCTAATCTTATTATTTGAGATTACAAAGGGACATATTGGAACTGTGTGCAATTGCTTGGTTTCARTGACTCCGGAGATGGCAAGATATTTTTGCTCACAGTTATAGATAGCAAAAGTGCAAATAAAAATCATCCTTATTTTTGCACACTAAGAAATTCTTCACTTTTAAACTGTTGCTCAAATGTAAAAAGAGTAGAGGAAATAATGTAATGTTTTTGCTCTGAAAGGTGTTATCAGAATAGTATTTTGTCCCACCCTAAAAAGAAATGCAAATACATTTGGATTTGCTGAATGAGGTGGGGCTTTTTTTTGTTTGGATTTTTTATACTTACCTTTTTAACTTCTTGTGGTATTTCTGTCCATGAAGGATTAACCACTTGCTTAAGTATTACCATCTTCCAGTTTACTGCTTAGGAAGGGAGTAATTGATTGGACTAACTCAATTTCAATGTATTTTCAGTTTCCTATAGTTTAACTGTTTTTGCTTCCTCAGGACACTGAGAGCGAACTTTCAATATTTGTTTTACAGCAAGCACTACAGGATCAGTTTTTACCAGGGTTCTTGTAGAAAACACCTAATTTAGGGTCATTTTAAGGTGTAAACCAGATGTATCTGGAGTAGTACAATGAAGTATTCAGAACAATATTTGACATTTTTAGTAGCATTAAAAAGGTATCCTTCAGAAGACACCAGATGTGCTTCTGAAAACAACTCAAGTATAGTGGACTTCAGAAACAGCTGTAAGACTAAATGCAAATACTTGTACTTCCTAAGAAATCGTGTATGGACATATGGGAAACAACAGTATTCTTGTTTCCTTCTTTAGCTGAAGTGGCTCAGAACAAAACTAGCAAAGCMAAGATCAGCTGGGTGAACAATGTTAATAAAGAAGTCATTGTGCCACCAGATCTACATAGTATTGTGGAACATCAAGAACAACAACAACAACTGAAAACTAGTTCAAGGTAAGCTGTCTGTGTAATCACTCTTAGAATGTATATMTATGGACTAGTGAAACTTTTGATCTGTAAGTTGCACCCAAAATATCATACTTATCTCTTATTTCAAAGGTCACCAGATGTTCCCTCAGAATTGTCCAAGAAACCTGTGCATCTGAAAGGCAGACAGTCATGCATTGTTCTGTATTTGAATGCAGAACAATTAACAATCTTCTGATTGCCTTTCTCAGAAAAAAATGACAATCAAGTATAGAATGCTCCCACACATGTTCTCATGTCACAATTTATTTTGGTTCCTTGAAGTGAGACCTGGATTTTCTAATTAGACTGTCTGGCCATGATAAATACTCTGCAGTCAGTACTGAGGGGATGATAACCTCTGCATCGTTTCATTCAGTTAGTAAATGAGACCATACTGTTGATATGGCCTGAATTTTAAGCTTGGATCACAGATTACTGAGGCTGGAAAAAGCCTGTAARATCATCAAATCCAACCATTAACCCAGCACTGCCAAGGCCACCAGTAAACCATACCCCCAAGTGCCACATTCACRTGTGTTTTGAACACTTCMYATCACATGAAGAATTGGAGACTAAGAAATTGCTGTTAAGGATTTTCCAGATTATTGRGAATGTAGTTTAAGCCTTCTGAGACTTTTTAAGGAGACTGAACATATTTCAGGTGGAAAGAACTAGAATCTTTATATACCTGCAGAAAATTAATCAGATTCTACCATGAAAAGTAAATGTCTTTCTGGTGTGGAGAAGCTTCCTTTCAGAATAAGATCAGACAGTAAACTTGGATAAGCCTGAATTACTATAGTTGTCAGGAGGGCTGGATGATRAATGATTTCTGAACCACAAAGGATTTTGTTTTAAATCACTTTATCTCAAATCTGTAAATGTCTCAAACAATTTGATTTTGCTTTGAAATTGCCTGAGTTGATTTCTGAGACAGACATGTATTCTCTTTAAAATACCTACATGTAATTCATTGGCTGTGTTAAAAACTTTCAAAAAGCCTACATTTGAGAAGGAAAGTGGTGAGCAAGCTGGAGTCAGAGCAGGTGAAAGTGAAATATCTATAAGTGGCCAGATTCCTCAACAGGATTGAGGAAACAAGAACCAGGGTGTAACCCAGATAGCCATTGTTTGTGCTTGTAGTGAACAGAGTGAGATAAGAACCAGAGTTACTTCTTAGGGTGACTGTTTTACTTATGATTGTGCCATTGATCAGCTCTGTAACCTTTCACTTTCTTGTCTGTCTTCTGAATTCTTTTCAGTACTTCATCTGTTTTTTCTTTGCAGTAAGGCTTGTCTCCTCCTATGCATTTATTCCTAATAGTAATTGAACCTTTCACTTTCGTGGYCTGCAAACTGGGCATGCACAGTCACAGAGAATGGCAGCAAAGGTTGGTGTGAGTCTTAACAACTCTGGCTTGTATTACTGGTCTTTCTTATATTTTATCACTATCAGTGAACTCAGAGGAATTTGTTTTGACCATATCTGAAATTGTGCTGAAAAAGGTAAAATAAACTGTGGTCTTATAGACTCCCCAAAAATGAAGTTGTACAAAAGAGATGGTCAAGACTGATTATCACAAGGCAGAGCTCTGTTTTCCCTCCAGCCCAAGTTTACTGATGTGCTGACAGAGCAAGTTGTTACTAAATGTAGGTTTTTTGCAGGTGGCTTTTACTTTCATGGAATTGTTATGAAGATATTTCTTAAAGAACAGTACAAGATATGCTGCTGTTCAATATATCTCTTAGAATATTTTGCATGTCATCTTGTACATCAGGAAAATAAGAGAATACATTTAAAGATGCACAGCCTTATAATGCTGTTTTTGTCATTACAACTCTCGTGAACAGTGTGTGATTTATAAGGTATAATAGATTTCACAGTCTGCCAGGGCAGCCTTTTTGAACATACAGAACACAGCAAGAATATGAATATGTAGACAATTTTTTTCAGTAAGACCAAATTGGTAGTAGTCTTCAGCTTGAAGTGATTTGGTGACTTATTTCAGCTTGCAGCCATAGCTTGATAATTACTCTTCCTTTCTGTTCTCTTGGTACTGGAATTTGAAAGAGACTGGTGTGGCATAACTGTGGGCCTGTCTGTAATAGCAGAAAGAAACACAACGGTGAGAAAGCAGTAACTCCAGCAGCTGGGGTAGGAAGGGAAAGTCTACAAACACTTAATTTGCTGTTAAGATAGTGGAGCCACAAGGAATCAGTGGGCTCTTCCTCTTACAATGCTATAGTCTCAACACAGTCAGAACTAAGAGGAGGAAACAGATTTTCATTCTGGCATTTGGGATTGCATAAAGTCAGTTCACAATTTACAGTGTACARATGCTATCTGTGGTTCAAGCACTAGGAGTTTTAAAGCATTTTGAAGTGATGCTTTAAGAATAAGTTTGTGGGAGTCAAGGGGTTTATGATTTGGTTTTGTTATTCTTTTTCTGCTTCCCCTTCTTTCTCTAAGAATGTGCCTCAGGGCAGCCCTGACTTGCAAGCTTTGGATAAACTACGCAGCTGCTCTCATGAGGATTGGGGCCAGAARTTATGTGATAACAAATTATTCAGAGTACTTCTATTCTGGCACCTGTTCTTAAAGCAAAACAATTCTTACTGAGTCTAACAAAAGTTAAATTCTGGTAGATCTGTTTTTAAACTGCTAGGAATAAAATCCAACCCTGAGGCCAGCTGCTGTTGAATCATGGCGCTGCTATATTAGGTGGAGCAAAAATATTCTTAAAATTAGCGTAGTGACCTTTATCACCACACCCCAAATATCTAAATTCTATAATGAAGCTATGAATTATTTCTTTCTTGAGTGTTATATCATTGTGATAATTTTCTTGCATACCAGAGCTTTTACAGGCCACGTGTGGGAAGTGTCTTTGGAGGTGTAACCTTGAACAGAATGAGTTTCCAAAGGTGACTCACACTGTCAATATCACCTCTGTCTAGTGATGCCATCTGTCTCTATGCTGAATCTCAAAAAATGGGGGGGGTTATCTTTGAAATTAAGATTTTCTTCCTTAATCTAGAAGGTATTCTTTAACAACATTGAGCAGGTGGCAAGTGTGGGTCCTGGAGTTCAGCAAGGTGGAAACTTGCACAGATGTGTTGATTTTTAAAATCCATGTATTGACAATGCCTGCACATCTATAACCCTTTTCTCTAGTTTTGCTCCTGCCTTTGCCTTGTTGATTCAGTCTGTACGGGTTTGGGCCTTCATTGTGGTTCTTTCTTCATTTTGCTGAGTTGAAATTTTTAAAATCTTTTGAATTTTTAAAATCTTTTTTTAATCTATCAGTTTGACCTCATGCATGCTTAGAGTAGCCTTGTGAATGCAGCATATCTGAGAATTGTTTCTTCAATTTWCCTACCTGTGTGGGTTGTGGGTAAGCTAATGTTCAGAACCTTTGTTGTAAAACTTAGTTATAGGATCCTAGCTGCTGTTTTTCCTCTGCTTTGTTTTATTTAGAGCAGAGCTTTCAGTATGTAATGCCAAGTTAATGATCTTTAATTCTTCTATGGTAAATCCAAAGGAGCATTGCATTAAAGATTGGAAGACTATGCTTTACTGAACACACACAAAGTTACTTCTCCACCTGTAAAAACTATGTTGAAGAATGTCTTACCAGTTTCTTGCAGCCCAGGGAGCATAATGGTATTTCCCTTGCTTAAAATGAATGAAGGGTGCTTGAAGTATCCATCATCTAGGCTTTAAAAATAAAAATCATGATTTTCCTGTTCAGTAGTAGATGATGCAGACAAGACACAAAGTACAGGAACACATAGGTGCTCTCAAAAACATAAGTGCTTTATAAAAGCAGGAAAACAAACCTCAATTTCTGTAGTATTTTGTATGTATGTGTATTTTCACACTTAAAGAATGTATTTGATCTAATGTTAAAAATCATGTAGAAAAAAATGTGGAAGGGTATTTTTGATAAGAACTGGAAGTTACAACATTTAGCTCTTTGAGAATTAGAATTTCTTTTCTTATTTGGGATCAGCAAAGAATAGAAAGAACAATAGTTATCTGTTAGTAATCTGGTGTGTGCTTATAAGAGCTGCCACAGTTATTGTCTTACAAAAATGTAAGAACAGTTTATTTTTCACCCCTGTGATAGATTCTGTTACAAGATCAGCTCATACCTGACCTCTATCGCTATGCATGGTGGTATATGTCTTAAAGACAGTGTTAAATCAATAGAGCAAGGAAGAGGTATAGAAGTTTATAGTTCAGATTGTGACTAGTATTTTTTTGCTGGCTTTGTTCACACTGCTAATTATGGTCATTTTATCTTCTCCATAATGATGTTTTCCTTTTGAATAATGYAAGTGATGTCAGTTCTCAGATGGACTTAGCAATCCAGAGGCAAATAGCCTTTCAAGGGTGACTGCCAGACTTTTAATTTTTTTTTATTTCCTCTAAACTTTGAAGTTAACTGTACTGCACCCTAGAGAAGAATGGGAAAGTTATTCTCCCCTCAGGAGAGTAGACTGCTACCAATTACCAGACTGGAGAGATCTTTGTCAATGCAAGGAGGCGAATCTGAAACTTAATGGAGCTGGATGCTGTTTCTTATCCTGAGATATCTCATGGCTCTTCTACTTACCACTTTAAAATCTTTCCACATGCAACAAACATCACTGAACAAAGAAATATTCAGTTTGGGGATCTCTTTGTGTATCTATGTTGGAAAAACCATAGGAGTTGCTTTCTTTCCCAGCCTGAGATCTATTTCCTATCTGGAGAATATAATTTTTTTCTGCCTCGTGCTGTTGTGCCCACCCCAAAATCATAAGCATGTATGCTGATTAGTGGGAGTGTTTTCTATATAAAATTAGGATACCAAATATGGTTGTTATGTGAAGCCCATATTGAAATACATGTCTAAATTCTGTCTTCAAAAGCCAAATATTTTTTAGGTAAACTCAAATTATAAAAAATCCGATTGGGAAAAAACCTTTAATCATTCTGCAATAGATGCAATATTTAATGAGATAATATAGGAGCTGTCTCTTCCTGCTGTTTCAATTTCTCTGTATCTGGTTATATTTAGTATTCCAGGTAATAATTATTTCATTTATGCTATCAAACCACAAATTYTATAAATCTCAGTTGAAAAAATATTTTATCAACTGTACCTCTGAGGGGATCTRTTGTCATCTGTGAAGTCACATCTTTGCTACGGTGGTGATGGGGTTCCTCTTTTTTCTGAYTGTGACACTTAGCAAAATTTTATTTTTAATCAGATTTTGACACTTTCCTCCACTTTGATTTCATTCCTAGAAGTACAAATGTAGGATAAGGATGGAGATGGCAACTCTGRTATTGTTTGGAGAGTAGCTATATATACTGTATTTATAGTAAATGTAAAATTTATATTTATATCTATTTTTATAAAGCTTGCTCAAACATCTAGAATGTATAAAATTTACAGTTTTTATCATGCCAAGTAACAATTGTGTTGAATTCTTTAACAAGTAAATAATTTTACAAGGAAGCAAAGCAGCAAGAATATCCCCTTTGCTATGGGAATGAGATCCTTTTGTTCTGTATCTGATGAGAACAGGCTAAATAGAAAAAATCAGATGCCAAGAGGTTATGTTTGAGTATGTATAGATGAATGTTTGTTTTGCTTTTTCAAAAATGCTCAAAGTAATTTCCTGATTGCTGAAGTTGTTACACAATTTTCCTTCACAGTTCTAAAGAAGTAACCTCTGTGTTAGACAAACCAGGGGAAAGACCTATGAAGGCAACCATAAAGGTATGACTGATATTAAATATGGTGGAAGTTATTTGCTTCAGTGGTAAAAATAAGGAGAAAGAGGAGAAAGATAATAATTTGTAAAAAAAGGGGTATTTTTTTTTGTTTGTTTGTTTTGGAGGGAAATGGAAACCACTAAAGGTTCAGCAGCTATAGTACAGCTACACCTATAACTGGTGGCTGTTTTTTCTTGTCATTATTTCCAATCTGTTCAGCTACTGAAAGGGATTGGCCAGCTGTGTTCTAGTATCAYAGAATTAGAGATAAAATTATTTAACTTGCAACAGCTTGGGATTTTCAAGTGTCTTTAAGTGGTGGCTTATCTCTCTTGTTGGTGACTTCAAAAGAACAAGATGAGGCTATTGTTGGCGCTTCTGATAGTTTCCTGGTTCATATTGTTTAGGTTTTTTGTCATGTATCCAGTTTAAGAGGTATGTTTTCAGACTCTGCTGATAGGTTATTGAGGAAATCACTACACAATCAGAAGTCTATACTGATGTTAGAAAATGACTGCAACAGTAATGTGGTGGGGTTTTTTNNNNTTTTTTTTTTTTTTTTTTTTTAGCAAAGGAGAAATCCATTTAATTCCATGGCATCAGGTGATGACTGGAACAGTGGGGAATCAGAAAACAGACTGGCCATTGTACCTCAGCTATCAAAGAAGGGTAAATGTACTTATTTARCAATTGACTGTGAATTTCCTGTAGATTTACAGGAATGTAAATTATTTTTACTTTCATTGCTTTTTCTGAAAGAGATTAAAACCCTTTTTGTCTTAAACTAGTTCACAACTCCTAATAGTTAYTTCAAACCTTACCTGAACCATGTGAATATCCTCAGGAAATGGGTGTAGACATAAGTAAATGGATTTTGTATCCTTTCTTTTACTCACAGTTCTAGTCAATACTAAACACTCCATCTGAGAGGGCTGTTTGTCCTGAATTGCTGATAAGAGGACAGTGAAATTTCCTTGAATTTGGCATAGCTGTTTTTGTGACCTTCTAATCATTGCTGCTAATTAGCTTGACAGAAGCAGCCTAGCTCTTTGGTGTGTATTTTTCTCCTTTGTTTTCTTAGTCCTGTTTGTTATCCTCCCTTTCCAGCAATATTCTCTGCAAGGAAGYTGATGAGTGATGATATGTCACAATACAGGCATTTGAAGTTGTAATTTAGAGTCATGTGTGGATATAACTCTCCTGTCTCTGCTGTGAAGCATGCTAATATGAAAAAGAAAGGTTTGCATAGTAGGAATAAATTCCCCTTCATCTCCCTGCCAGGAGATTATTTCTGCATTTGCCTTGTTCCATAGACTGTGGAAATAGCCARTTTCCCTTTTTGCAGGTTGCTGTTTATGTTCTGATCCTGAAGAGGTGTATATGTATTCAAAAGCTGCCCTTCCCTGCAAACTTAGCCCCTTGGAGGATTAATGCTGATAAAAAATTCGGTGTGACCTCTATCTTCAGTATCATAAAATAGTTAATGTTTCTAAAATTAGATATAACTCCATGCTTTTAATTTGCTAAAAATTTCAACACCTGTGTAAAATTTCTGGCTATGTTTTCTCTGCAGTTGTTTTTGATAAACTAGTATAATCACTGCATTCTAGATCTGCACTGTCATATCTTTCTGTTTATACTGGCAAATGCCATGTAAACTCATAAGCTCTTCTATGTCTTACAGAAATTTTGTCACTGTCAGAAGAGAGCCCAACTAAATCAAACTTACAAAATGATGAAACAGAGAAATCTAAGAAGCCTTCTGCAAAACTTACTGATGAATCTCAGAATGAAGTAATCAAGCGTCCTGTCCCAAAAGCGAGAAAATTAATTCCCAAAGCAGCAGATTCTGGGTCACACAAAGAGGACTTTGTTCCTCAACCAACCAAGGAGACTGAGAGGATTAATGGCATTGGTACTCCACCCAGGGGCATTCTGAAGCGCAGCTCAAGCTCAAGTTCCACTGACTCAGAAGTTCGTGTCAATCAGATGTTAGATGTTCAGAAAAAGAATGGACTTTCTACTGCAACTATTTTTGAARGAGAAGGTGAGAAGAGCTCTATTACGGCAGAAGCAGAAGACTCCATGCAAAATTCACTGGAAAAACTAAAACAAGTGAGGTTCTCATCTAGCCCAGGTGAAGGAAAACCTCTGCAAAGCCCACAGCTACACCCTGGTAAAGAAAGWGCAGAGAATGATTTGTTAAAACCTCACCAAAAAAAGAGTGGAAATCATGCTGTTCAATCAGATTCACTTGGGGATAAGCAAATTTCTGCTGCAAAGCCTTTGGAAACATATTCATCAGCTTTACAAATGAAAACAATAGATGGCTTACAAGAAGACACATCTACATCCAGCACTTGTGACACTAACAGATCAGTCTTCCCAGTTAGTGAAATCTTCCAGACAAAAATGGTTACTCCCAAGAAACCTGGAACTCCCAAGAAACCTGAWACTCCACAGAAGACCTCCATCAATAGTCTGTCAAATAGCAATAACGAACAGAGTGTTGATGAGACATGGGAAAATAAATCCAACCAGATCTTGAGCCATGAATCAAAGCCACACAAAAATTTTACTGGTGAGTAAATTAAGAGACTAATAGGATAGCAGAATGGAATGAAATAGGATATAGCACGTATTTCTTAATGCTGATAACTTGTATCTAGCAATTACCAACTAAGAAGCAGAAATAGTAGTAATGTGCTACATACTGCAGTATTAAATCACCATTTAAAAAAAATACTTTTATGATCTTTTATTGGTAATCTTGTCAAAGCSTGTATAGGCACCTCTTTTGTGGGTGATATTTTAGTGTAGTGCTGTCAGTTGTCCTTGGGAGTCATTCAGTTGTGACTTAGGGATTTGCTTTGGGACTAAAACCAAATATGCTGGATTGTCATCCTCTGAATGTGTTGTCATGCCCAGCCTCCTTCAATGTGGGCATTTCCTTTAAAAATCCAACTCATCTTGTTGGATTGGACCCTCAAAAGCAATGATTCCAGTAGGATGTCTCAGAGCAGGAATATTCTTCACTCTGTTGCACATGGTATGGCTCTTTCCAAAAACATAAGGACAGAGAACTCTTTTCCCCACTAAGAGTTGAAAAAAGTTCTGAGAATTTTCTAGATAGACCAAGTATTTTTAGTCATGTGTCTGATTCATAACTCTGATAAGTTTATTTATATTGTAGATGGACATCTTTATGCTAATCCAGAAGCATCTGAGGTGTCCAATACCAATTCTACAAGTCTTCAACAAGGTAAGCCTGGTCTTATTGAGGAGAGAGATGCTAAAACCACTTTCAAGCCTGGCAAACATGCTGATGAACTCATGAAAGTGGACGATGAATCTGTATCAAAAGTTTTAGACTGGTTTAAAAGAAGTCCTAGTACTGAAGATGGGGAACTTGTGTCAATGAGATCCCAAGGCAGGGAGCCCAGARAGGACGTGGACCTGTCAACCAGACCAGCAGTTCTTCCTACAGAACACAGTGGGCCAGGCATGCAGGGAAAAACAGAATATACAGAAGAATTACTGTTTGGAAAGACTAAACAACGGAACAATATTTCATCTGCATCATTTACTTCAAAAAACACACAGCTGTTAAAGGAGAGGAAGCCTAAAGCAGGTGAAGAAAATGAGAAGCAAAATGATAAATTACTGACTGAATTTGATTGTACAAGAGTTGAAGAAAAAGAACATGGTCGAGAAATCAAACAACAAAATAAAATATCAAATCTCTTGGAACATCAAGAGCACAAGCTACCAGCTCAGAAATGGGAATCAGAGAAGGCAATACAAGAAAAAAGAAGGATAAGGGAGATCAGAGCATTCTGGGAAAGGGATAAAGCTATCCCCAGTCATGGAGAGAAAGAAGTTAGTACCAATGCTGATGCATCAGGAGGCCGTGCATTGACAGGTCTTGGAGAAAGTGACAAAATAAAACRATCTGCAGTATGTCTACCCAAGGCAYTGTGTGATCAGAGCAAGAGTACRTTAAGAAGTCCTGAACTAAGTTGTKCAAGTCAGACTTCAAGAAACAAAAATCACCACTCTTTTGAGTTTGGACCAGGCCATGCAGTTGGAAAGCCAGAAGGAACATTTCCATCTGATGAAATTCGTGAATGTACAGAAGTCCCAAAAGCCAGCAACTTGCATCCCAGAGCTGATGTCACATCAGCTTCTTCAAAAGGCAAAGACAAAGATGAGAAAGAAACTCTTAAAGGAAAAGTCATTGCTTGTTCCCAACTGAAGCCCAACTTCCAGGTTTTGTCTTTAAAAGAAAAAATGAATGAAAAGTCCAAGAATCAAATTTCAGATCCTTCACAGTTCCAGAGTTTGAGAAAATTCTGGGATACTGGAGCAAAATTCCAGAGTAGCAATGACAGGGAAGATGATTCTTTGCTGAATAACACTAGATCAATAAMCTATGAAAGAAAATCAAAAGAAGATAAAAAAGGCAGAGATAATGTGAGCAAACAACAACAACAAACCCAGACATCTGAGAGAGAAAAAACACAGAAACTGGATTCTGCAGTATGCACAAAGTCTCTAGAATCTCCTACCCTAAAAGATGTGACACACACAAAAAATACAGACTCTCTCCAGCTGGACAGACAACCAATTATCTCAAAGTCCCAGGGAAAGATAGGTCTTCCAGAGCAAGATGTWAGAAAATGTACAGAAAAAAGTATTGTTTCAACGAAAGATCATCATGTATCCTTGCAGCTCCAGTCACCTGGTGATAAAGATGCTTTAAAGGAATCAATAGTAGGTGATAAAATATGTTTACATAAAGAAAAAGGGGAGAACAAGACTACTCCTTTGGATAAAGAGGAAGTTGCAGAGACTGCGGATAAAGTTGTTCTGCCTAAAGGTGAGCTTGATGTATTTGAACCATGTCTAAAGAAATTAGAAAAGGAAGCCTCTGAGGTGTCATGTAGTTTAAACCTAAAAGAAAACATTTTAAAAGGGACACYTTTTCCCTCAAATCAGTGCAAGGTCTTTGCAAGAGCAGGGGAAGACAGTCAGGGTATTTCTCCTGTTGATCAAGGAGAAGAAATAGGCAAAAGTACAGGACAAGTGAATGTGTCATCAGCAGATAAGCATGAGAAAAAACAAAACCTCAGAAAACTATTTAGGGAATTTGAACCTTTGTATCTACAATATCAGGCAGCAGACAGGGATGATAATCTGGAGGGCTCTGAGAGGCCTCTAGCTGGCTTGCAGAACCTTCTTAGAGAAACTTTTGTATCTCAGCCTTTTGAATATAGMAGGGTGGGAATGAAACCATATGATGATACAAATAATACATCACAAACTAACTGCAGTGTAGAATCAGCATGCCAASAAGCTGCTGGTCAGCCTGAAGAGGTCCATGAGATCATAGAAAGGTCTGTTGCCCCATCCAAGGTCAATGGCTTGAGTTCTGCTCTAGAGAGGCTGCTGAAGGAAGCCTCTGAAACACCCCTTCCCGTACCTAAAGGTACTGGTGGCACAGAATGTGGGACTGCTGAGGCACAGGTTAAAAGGACAGTGTATGAACGTGGTGGAGAGATGCCGCAAGAAGTCAGTGAGACCATAGAAAGGTCTRTTGCCCMATCCAGGGTCAATGGCTTGAGTTCTGCTTTAGAGAGGCTCCTGAAGGAGGCCTCTGAAACACCGCCTCCTAAACCCAAACGTGCTGACAGCATCTCTCAGAAGACTGCTGAGGTGGAAGCTAAAGGCATGACTTACAAGCATGGTGAAGAAGTATCACAGGAAATCAGAGAGAYCATAGAAAGGTCTGTTGCCCCATCCAAGGCCAGTGGCTTGAGTTCTGCTTCAGAGAAGCTGCTGAATGAGGCCTCTGAAACATCACCTCCTAAACCCAAACGTGCTGACAGCATGGTACAGAGAACTCTGGAGGCAAAAGCTGAAAGCCCGACCTATCAGCATGATGGAGAGGTAACTCAGGAAATCAGTGAGAACATAGAAAGGTCTGTTGCTCCATCCAAGGCCAGTGGCTTGAATTCTGCTTTAGAGAACCTGCTGAAGGAGGCCTCTGAAATATCCCCTCCTAAACCCAAATGTGCTGACAGCACAATACAGGGGACTGCTGAGGTGGAAGSTGAAGGCATAGCCTATGAACATGATGGAGAGCTGCTGCAGGGAATTGAGGAGGTCACAGCAAGATCTATGCTGTCCAACACTGAATATAGAGGGTCTGACGCTAATTTTCAGAATCTACCAGAAGAGGTCTCTGGAACACCAGCCTCTGTGCTGGAAAGTATGGATAAGAAAATGCACAATAAAATACAGAGTAGTCTAAGTATATATGTTTCACATCAACRAGACAGAGATCATCCTCAAGAAATAAATGAAACAATAAAAAACCCTTCTGTTTCAAATATCACAAAATTTGGTGAGTTCAGTTGCTCTTTAGAAAAAGTTCAAGAAGCATCTGCAGCTTCATCTTCAGTGTCCAAAGATTTATATAAGCAAGAAAAGTTTGGGGATCATAGATTTCCCTCAGAAAAAGAGACTCTAGTCATGACAAGGTCACAGCCGTATCATGCTCTAAGTAGCTTTGATACACAAATGAAGATAGCTCTCGCTGGGGGAGCTCCTGAACAAAATATCAAAGCCTCCATTAATGATCTTGCAGTAAGTGAAATTGAAGCTTCTGGTTTTAAAAGAGATGGAGCTATTAACAACACAGGAGAGAGAAACATGGTTCCAGTTGATCTTCCTATCTTGGAAGGCAAGACCAATATGGTTGCAATCAAACCGCTTGAGATAAATAAAAAAGGGAGGAATGAAAGCACATTCTTGGAGGCACCTGAACAGAATTCAGAATTTCAAGCACCATTGAATTTCAGAAGAACAAGCATAGTACTTAAAGATGAGAGAAACTCCCCACAGTCAGAAGAAGCTCAGTTCTGYCTAATGTCTCAGCATGAGGATCACAATGAAGAGGAAGATGACAACTTAAATTTGGGATCCAAGTTTTCAGATGAAAACTCTGATTCCCACTCTGGAAATAGAAGTTCAACTCGTGAGCTATCTGATTTCTAAAATTCACAGTGCTGAGTTGTTAAACATGGCTACAATTTTTTTTTTTTTTTTTGTATCCAGCTTGATATATGTTAATAGGAAGTCTGTGGGTTTCTTTCTTAATTGAATGATTTGGGCATTTGCTTGGAAGGGGTGGGACCAACTAATTAAGTTTTTTGATTGGAAAGTGTTAACAGACATGCTACATTTGGGTAAGCTTTTGGTAAGGATAGTTTATCAGGATGAATCAGTTCAGTCTTTATGATTTACCCTTTTCTTATCCCATGTGACATTACCTGCAAATTAATAAATTTGTAACACTCMATCTACTAATCCTTTCAAATATACTGGATTAAAAGAGGGAAAAAAAGATCAGTGACTGACTGAGTTCATTCTTATTTTGACTGGCTACTCYACAAAGATAAATGCTTATCAGTGGAATGTCTGGATATAAGGATAATAACAATACTCTGTGCTATTTCAGTTAGCATTGCTTCCTGTTGCACTGGAAAATGGTTGGTGGAGGAGAAGGAAAGCGGGATAGGGAGGAAAGAAAGTCTTAAATATTTCTGAAGGAGCTAGGTCTGTCTTGATTCTRCTTTTGGAGACAATTGCATAACTTCAGAGCTCCAAATACATCTAAAGCTCATTTTATTTTTTTGTTTTTCGGGTTATTTTTGTTTGGTGGGTGGTTTTGGGGGTGTTCATTTGTTTTTTGAGGGTGGTGGTGTTTGGTTTTTTGTTTGTTTTTTTTGTTGGTTTGGTTTCGTTGTTTTTTTTTTTTTTTTTTTTTTACTCAAGCATTGAAACAAAATTACTTTCACTATGGAAAGAATATTACAGACAAATTTGCACAAAGGGAAAAAACTAAAATTTTCCTTTGTGCTGGTTCATGAAAAGATGGTTACAAAATGGCTACAGTCTGAATTTAYCCTATATTAGTCTTAACCACTTAAGTGCAATAATTGCCTCAAATCCTGTTATTAGTGAGCAAAAACACATCTATACCTACACAGGGCAAATCAAGCAACTTGTCTGTCTCTGCTGATGACTGAGGGTGTTTAGAGAGAGCAAATGGACACTTAAAATTGGATGTTTATTTTATTCTGGATTTATCTTGTGTTTTCATTGAATGTTCCCTGTCTTTGCTAATAATCAAAATAGGTACTCATGAGAAACCTGTTGTTGGTGCTTCACTGACTTGCTTAAAATGGCCTGTCTGTGTGTGCAGTGTTCATGTGTTTTGTCTCGTAACAGGTTCTGAAGAAGAATTAAACCCTGTTTTGATGGCTTTGAAAAGGAGTGCAGATAGGAAAAAGCCTTCCAAAAGTCTAGAGGACATTCCATCAGCCACCTCAAGTGAGCACAAAGCTTGTGTGTGTCTCCCATGACCCCCAGTTTGGCTTAAATGTGTTCATACTAGTCTTYCATACAGCTCTGCCAAGTCATGGCTTYGTCTTTGTTTCTCAATAAGCTGTAYGGAAGTTTTACTTTGGAATCAGATTCTTTTCCTCACACAGTTTAATTTTCAGTTCTYGGTGTTAGTTTTGAAGCAAGGCTGGTTTGTGAATAGACATCTTCAGAAAATGCGCTGTGTTGATCAGTGTTTAACTGTTTCCTGGCTAAGTTTTGTATTGGCAATTATCCAAAACAGTAGTGACCAACTACTGTCATTGCCTCTTGGCTGCTGGCTTGGGTTGAATTGACAGAGAGTAAAAGCATGAAAAACTCACTTTAGTAATAGTTCACCTGTGTATTCTAGCAGTAAATATATCAAACTCACTTTAAGAAAATACAGTGAGATAATACTACACTTAAAATTAATTCCCAGCTTCCCTCAGTAGCCTCCTTGGATTTCTCCTTTTTCTTTTTTTTTTTTTTTTCTTAATTATAATTCCTGTCTTCCTTAACCCTGCCCCTGAGTGTTTTCATGCTTATCTCATGTCTGGGGAAGACACAAACTGAACTTAATTTGGTAAACTAAAGCATGGAGCTGTAGATTCTGAAATATAGTGGCTGTTGTTGGCAAGYTGTTCCTCTAACACTACTTGTGCTACTGCCTGCTTCTAACCAGTTTCTAGGTTTTAGGTGTGCACTAACATTGTTGCAACAAAACAATGATAGAAACTGTGTCACCGTGAGACCCCTGCTTGGATGTAGGCTTTGAGACAGTGTGAAGTTAAAACATCTCCTGAATTTAACAATTCCTATGGCTCTGCTGGTTTATTTGTGGTTTTGTTCCTCATTACTCTTAATTCTGTGATTACCACTGCCATCCATTTTACACTGAATGACAAAGTTTCTAACTCTTACTTTTTCCTGTACAGATAAAGAAAAAGTAAATAAATCAAAGGAAGAATTAGTTCTTAGTGCTGAAGATGGTAAATATCTTTTGTGTCTGCATGGAAGTTTGTTGCTCTTTCAATGACTTTTGTATGCAAGTGATTTTTTTTTTTTAAATCAAGAATTATATTGTGCTTTTAGGTTTGTTTAACCTCAGCATGGCTGGAAAGCTTTTGTAGAATTTTGTTGTGGTGTCTTAATGAAACTATTTGTGTCGTCCTATATCTGTAGAAACTGTGCCACTTAGCATTGTATTCTTTTGGCCTTCAATCATTAAGCCTGTGAATTTCTGAAATCATAATGAGCTTTGAACACAAGCTCATTTGAAAGAAATTGGCCTAAGTAAATATATTATCTGTTGATCTGTTGCACTTTAAGATGCAGGATGACTTTTGCAAGTGCAAAATACCATTCAGAATTCCTCAATTGAAAAGGAACCTCTCTTAAGATCCCTTCATTAGTCCTATACAGTAACATTATTCTAAGCAATAGATGAACTTCTAGATCAGCTACTCCTATCATCAGTCCCTTAATGCATTACAGATGCCTTACTGTTACATTTTTCTATAAACCTTTAGAAATTCCAAATCWAGGAAAAATAAAAAGCAATCCTGCTCCAAGAACATGTCAAAATGAACAGAATTGAAAACCATCAAATAACATTGAATATGGTAGAATATAACACACAGTTTACTTACATTGGACAACTACAGTTTTAAAAGAGCAGTTGTGTACGGTTGTGTTTTTTATTTCATGATTTAGATTCATTTTAAAGCATTTTGCATGCCTGTATCAATAGGATAATCAGCATGTTAGGATACATAGAACATCSATTAAAATAACAAGTCTTAAGCACCGTCCTGCCCTCCACTTTCAGATGGAGACCCCTACTGAAAACTTGTTTGGCATTCAGTGTGATTGTGTAGAGACTAACCTGAAAAGAGTAGGGGGATTTTTAGTTAAATTTATTAAGACTGAAGTTATGAAAAAAAATGACACACAAACTGATAGCTGTACAGGGTGAATAAGGCAAATTTTCTTGAAAAGGCTGTTCTTTTTTAACAGTGAAAAGACTGATTTACTTAGSTTGTACACTCCTATTTTGTCAATAGAGAAAATAGGAATGTACTGGAGATACTTCCTCTGATATCTAAACTAATACATTAAAAATACTTTTTCATTTAACAGCTAACAAGTTGCACATGTGGACTATATACTCGCTCAGTGGGGAAATTTCATCTAATTGCATACTGCCAATAACTGATATGTTGAGCACTAGTGGATTTTTGACAGCAAAAGCTTTGCAAAAGTTCACTCACCTTGCAAACAATCTGATTGTGTGCAGTGTTTCATTTTATGCAATAAATATGTGCCCATGTACCTGGCTGTTTGTTGCCAAATAATTTTCTGTCACATGATATTGGTGCATCCCACAATGTGTATTGAGTTAATGTTTGTGTATTATTAAATATAAGTGGGACTAGAGCATGGAAAATTCTGAGGATCATGAGCTTACTGCAAACTGGATTTTTGCAAGCTTAGCTTATGCAATTAAGTTTTGCATAGTGAAAGAGCACAGAAGTGAATTCAGTGGAAGTATGGAACAGACAGTGCAAAAAATTGCATTATTAATAAGATATGCATCTTATCATTAAGTAGGAATACTTGAAACTTTCTTGATCAGGTCTAGAATTTGCTTGATTTGTACAAATTTGCCTATTGCAGTTAAATAGACTGAACAAATAAAGAACAGAATTTGGCTTGTATGCTAATTTCTTATTAGAGAAYCTTATGATGAACCTAATGTCAGTGATGATATGATTAGTGTAKAAGTGTGCTTAGCCTAGGAAGAAGGCTAATTATCTAGAAGGTAATCTGCAATGTTTTCATCATCACTTTTGATCAGAATTTGCTTCTAACACCGGGGCTTGCATATCATGTCAGGCAACATTTCTGGTCCTGTCAAAGTTTGTTGGTTGCTGTTACAGAAAATGCTAAAGTAGATTATCCTTCCTAATGAAACCCCTTGCTTCCAAGTTAGTTGTGCATGTGCATGTATTTCATTCCAAGTGGATTTGTTTTATTTTGTTTGTTTGGGGTTTTTTTGTTTGTTTTGTTCTTGTTTTTCCATCCCAAGTGGTTTGTTTCTAACCATGTCCTGTTAYGGAATCTCACTGTTCTGATGTACAAACATGTTTTGGAAACCTTCTGAACTACTGCTTTTCAGTTTCCACAGTGCCTTCACAGCCTGAGAAACTTTTTTCCAACCCTGAAAAACTCAAAGGACTGAGCAAGTCAGTACCATCATTCCTACAGGAAGAGGTAAGCTCCATCTCTGAAAAACTATAGTTTTAGGCACCTGACCATTCACTCTGTGCAAGTAAAATTTCAGAATTTCCAACAGCATGCCATGCCTGATTATTGTTATTATCATCATCATGGTGTGAACTTTGGAAGAAGCTTTGAAGCCATATTCAGATCTCCTAAAATGACATTGAAGTTTGAAAGTGATAAGCAATTTGAACTGTCTGTCTATGACAGAAGCTGTGATTCTCTATCACAGAAGGGTTTGGTTTGTAAGGCACCTTAAAGACCATCTAGTTAAACTCTCCCTGCCATAGACAGGGAGACCTTCCACCAGACCAGGTTGCTCRTGGCCCCATCTAACCTGACTTGGAACACTTTCAGGAATGGGACAGCCATAACTTCTATGTGTCAGTACCACACCACCTTCACAGTAAAGAATTTCTTCCTAATATCTTATCTAAACCCATTATCAGTTACTTTAAAGCCATTCTTCCTTTTCTAATCACTATATATCCTTCACCTATGGGAGGATTTAGGATTTTTCTGWCTTTCAATGAGTTCCTATAAGTGGAGTGATTTTCCACACTGCTTAACTGTTACTTCACTCCCTGGATTCATTTTGTGCAGTCACAAATARCACTCTCCAAAGCAATTTTCTCTCAAGGAGCCTTGTTCTAGCTAGGCTGGACGTTAGTCAGTCCTTATTGATCTTTGAACTGAGTAACAATCCTCATCTACTTTTGCTTAACAATATAAATATAACCWGATTTTATAAGCCATTTCAAAACATCTTTATGTGATAAAAGTTTATTTATATAAATAACTAKTTTTCCAATGTGTTCAGAAATCATAGTTTATTAATTTTGTATCTGTTATTAGAAGATCTGTGACATCAGTTCCAAACTGTTTGAGGAGCGGGGAGACCTTGCAAATTGTTTCTGGCTAGAATACAACAGGGAGATGAAGTTGTCCATGAAAACTTGCATACGAAGGCACATGAGGGAAGGGAATCAATTCTTCAGCACAGAGATAACATTGACATAGAATGGGATTATGAGTACATAACCTGATAATGAACAAGGAGACAAAAGCTGCAATTCCCTCATGGAAAAGCAAAACCCTGCTTGCCTTCTTGCAAGAAAGACTTTGCAAAAAACTTTTCTGTATCCAGTGTGAATGTTTATTTTCCAGGCAGCTGCCCTCAAGACAGAGGCACAGAACTGATAGCATTTACTMTAAAACAGAAAGGAATGGTAAAAGAACTGAGCATTATCAATTTGTGCATAAAATAGTGATGCAGAGAAGTTGCRTTTAATTGTCCCAATAAACTTAGCTTTGTACTTTTTCACTGCTTTTTGAGATTTAAAACAGACAAGCAAACAAACCCCTGAAACTAGTTGCATTGCCACTTAAAAAAAATTATCAGTGTAGGCTGTTCATCAGAAAAATTCCCTTYTAACTTTAAATGTGTGACCTAATTCAGGAAATATTATTCATATTGCACTACAAGGGAATTTAAATTCAAGCTTCCACTGAGTCTCAATCTGCATTAAAATTCTGTTTGTTTGGTTTTGATTTTTTTAATGTTCCTTGTGACTATAAAGAATGTACACAGACTTTCTCTCTGTGATGTTTTTGTAGAGTGATGACAGAGAGACAGATACAGCATCAGAATGCAGTTATTCCTTTGGCAGAATCAAGAAGAGTCCCAGCTCTCTAACCAATCTTAGCAGCTCTTCTGGCATGGCCTCCTTATCCTCTGTATGTAAACCAAAGCATTATTTTAATGGCACTTTGCTTTTGCTAATTTCTCCAATATTGTTTTGGCTCTCTTCTCATTCATCTTATTTTTATTCCCTTGCCATCTCTGTCTCCTTCTTTCCATCTCTGTTATATGAACATAATGATTCCTTGCATGGAATTGCCTGAAGCAAATAAATTAAAATTAAATAGATTTTAATTTTTTTTCTAGTAATATATTGGAACTTATTCAGGGCTCTGAACAAAGAGATGGGTTTTACCCTAAGAACTTACATTTTTAGCTGAAAATGAGGAACAATTTATAAAGAACAAGCTYTTAGAAAGGGGAGAGAGATAAGTGAAAGCAGGAGATATTATTGGTATTTCAGGTGTGTAATCTGTCAAATAACTAACCAAAAACCACTGGTTTATGTGGACTTTGAGTGAGGAAAAGCAGAATTTTGGGGAAGGATGTGGAGGTAGAAAAAATATATATACACACATCTTTTTCTATAGTATTTAATTTTAATTTGTTTTATTTAGTTATATATTTAGCTATATGTAGGTATAATTCAGCCATATAGACTTTGTCTACTAATCTTTTTGTTGGTATTTTAAGAAGGTCTGGTGTCCTAAACTCTTAGGCTTTCTGCAAGAAAGGTCAGCTGAGGAGATTTAGAAGTAATATTTCAAGGATCTGATCAGAGGCAATCTCCAGATTGAAAGCATCCTATAATTTAATTTCTTCTATCTCAATGCAGTAAACCCATTCAGTTTTTTTTATGAGAAACTTGGCCTAACACCTTTGATTTCCAAATATCTTTCTTTCATTAATCTACTTGCTGAGAAGCTTCTGTAATAGTCTCCATTGCATTTTATTATTACATGTAAAGAGACACAGATGATTTCTTTACTGTTTGAATCCTGAGCTCGACTTTGATGCTAATCTTGAAATATCTGGTGAAATGCAATGTCTAGAAAATATTTCTCCTCTGGTATGACGCAGGTGAGCRGCAGTCTAATGAGCATCTATAGTGCAGACTTTGGCAATGTTGATGTGAAGGGGAACATTCAGTTTGCCATTGATTATGTAGAACAGCTGAACGAGCTCCACATCTTTATTTGTCAGTGTAAAGACCTGGCAGTAGCAGATGTTAAGCGACACCGTTCAGATCCGTAAGTACAAAGAATGCATTTGTTTTCTAATGGAAGTTTTTCTTTTAATGTGGAAATGAAAACTGCTGGAGTTTTCCAGTCTCTCCAGCTTAGTAGAGTAAACCACCCAATAACCAGATGAARAGGCTACAATGTGCTTTTTAACTCTAATTGAATATAGAATTGCCATTATAAATAGGTGTATATATATTAACACACGAAATTCAAACCTTTGAGATTATTAAATTCTCTCCTAAAATGCTACTTTTCWGATGGCAAATCTTGCTTTGATATGTTTTCAGTAGGATTAGCACCTATAAATATGGTATTTGGGGCAGGTACAGTTATATATTCTCTATTTTTATGTGCTGAGAAGACATTTCAACAGATWTTCCCCTGGAGAAGGATATTATAAGAAAGTGATTATGTTATACATCACTACTGCCTGTTCTATTTCTTAAATATACAAGCTGATTAACATAATATMTACTTAGGTGCATTTCTTTTACTTTGTAAGCAAATGCTTGTGTGTTTTGGAAGATGAAGTTGGGGAGGGTCTGCGCTTTTTTGGTTTTTGTGTATTTTTAAACTCTTCTAACAACCCTGTCTAAATTTTAGGTATGTAAAGACCTAYCTGCTTCCAGAGAAATACAGACTGGGCAAACGAAAGACCTCTGTCAAAAAGAAAACCTTTAATCCAGTCTATAATGAAATACTACGGGTATTTATAAAACTATTACTGGATACAGTGTGCTGTATGTGTGATGTGTKAGGAACTTCAACTTTGAGGGGCAGGTCTAGATTGGACTCAAAAGAGACATTAGGATTGCTCTGCAGAGCTGGCTGTATCCTTCCACTGATAGCATAACTCCTTTTATACTTTTGTAAACACAAGCCATGTATGAGCTTAAGATGRTAGACATCATCTATGTAAAAGTAAAAGTAAACATTAGGGGTTTATTGTGGTTTGTTTGTTCGCTTTCTGAAATGCAGAAGTGGGCAGTTATGGATGTATAAGCCCAAATATTTTTTTCTAACCTTATCACCTCCAGACACAGCATTGGTAAAAATCAGCTTCTTTTAATTCTTTTTTCTTTGTAATTCTTCCCTGCAGTATAAAATTGAGAAGGATCTCCTAAAGAATCAAAGCCTCAATATCTCTGTCTGGCACAATGATACCTTTGGGAGGAATAGCTTCCTTGGTGAAGTGGAGTTGGATTTCGGAACTTGGGATTGGAATGATCCATCCAACAAGCAGATCAACTGGTTTCCTCTCAAGCCAAGGGTAGGTTGCCTGTTTTGCCTTTTCTGCTATGTAAGTACAAAAACAAATCATTATTTGGGATTGGTCTTGTGTATTCTGTGGGTTTTGTGCTGGTTATAATCATGAAGACTTATACACTGGTAAATGGAAAATACAGTTCTGAGATGTGTTTTTGTCTAGCTAGCTATTGYAATCGGAAAAACTTCCTCACAGTATAAGGAGTGGGAATTTCAAAGTATTTCTCRTTATGTCATATAGCTGCAACAGAAATCTGAAGGCACTTGTTAACCAAATATGGAGTAAACCTTCTGAGAATATGGAGCAAGTGCAACACCACTGTATATCAGATACCTGGTTTAATTTTTTTATCATTTCAGACTTCAAAAATAACTCTAAATCTAGAAAACAAAGGGCARATGAAACTAGCCCTCCAGTATGTTCCACATCCCATCGGAGGTAAGCATTACTGCTTTTCTTGGGTTCGTCAAGTCTTTGGGGTTTWGGKGTTTTTGGTTTTTTTTTTAACTTTGAAAAAAMCCCTTATTTAATGTTTGTCATTTACTTCAGACAGCTTTTTTTAACATAAAAGTAGATTTTTTATTTTCTTCCTAGAGGATAAAGTCACCTTGGTTGTGAATACAGCTAAGAATGTCAAAAACCATTTTGAGATATTTTGTCATTTTTAATGACAAAAAAAWTTGTCATTTTAATTTATGACCTCATTGTCATAATCTAAGATTTGCAATGCAATCTATATGTGTAACAAAATTCTGTTTTCTCAATAATTTTAGAGATTAAAATCACCAGGCAGGTGCTGTGGTGTGCTAAATAAGCACTGACAACACACTGAATTTCAAGCAATATTAGCTGTAGGAACTAGCAGCAAGTATTTAGAATGTAGAAATTTATAGCAGTCTGATCATTTTGGTTTAATCTTGTCTGGCAACAGATAATGGACCAATCTGAGAGTGAAGCCAGGTCAGGTGTTTAATCAATAAGAATCAAATATATTAAGAGCATAAAGAAGCTTATTTGAAAGTACAAGCAACAATAAATGCTAGCATCACATAGGCTGATGACAAACTGATCTGTTTATCTAGGAGTCTTGGAAAGAGAAGACTAGTAGCATGTGTTTGCTTATTGTAACAGAAGAAAAGTCAGTGTAGGAATGCAGACATGATGTGATCTCGCAGTACTTTGATGGGATGAAGATTTCAGCTTCCAGAGTACAGAAAGCAATGTTGAATTAAAATGTGAGATAACAAGTCTAGACTGAATATCACCTCTACAAACAGGCAAGAATTGCTCCATCAGGGAAAACACCTTTGAAAGGCATTTGCTTAAGCAGATATTTTGTTTTATTTTTACAGGAAAGAAGACTCTATCTACTGGTGAAGTCCACATCTGGGTGAAGGAATGCCATAACCTCCCTCTTCTGAGAGGCAACAGACTCAACTCTTTTATTAAGTGGTAAGAATTGTAAGAATTTGAAGTTATCAAACATGATGGCCTAATAATGCTACCATTGTGCTTTCTAATTGTATCTTTTTATTCAACATTCATATTGAGGAAACACTGAATTACTTTCTGATTCTCCTTTATTGTAGTACAAATTGTCCTGCAGGGTTTACAACTCCCAGATGCTAAGTATGTACCCCCAAGTAAAACTTACTGTATTGGAAGAGCTTCCTGTGTCATCACTACGCTTTGGTTTTGTCTCTCAGTCGCTTTTTGGAAGGACTAGTCAAACAGTTCTGGCTTTTATTCGCATTTAAGTAATGCATGTTTGTGAAACAACATGGTTTAGGCTAGCAAATTTTGGGAGGAGGCAGAAGTGGGAAACAGGGTTGTATTTCTTTCCTCTTCCTTCCCAAATACAGACTAAAAATGTGAAGAGACAAGAATAACAAGATGGTTGGGGAAATCTCTGGCAAAATATTTCAGTGTCATCAGTGATAACACAGCAAATAAACTCACTTGTGCTTCTTCCCCACCTGACTTACCCTTCCATCCTCTGAAGCCCAAGGGTGGATACCTGCTGCCAGTATTTCCTGTAAGGGACTGAGAATATCAACCTTTACTCCATCTCTGTAAAGCACCTTATCTTCAGTCATATTTTAACATGCAAAGCACAGTGTTAATCAGCAGCTTTTTCCTTTTCAGTATGTTTAATGCAGGCTGTGCTATGCAACTACAAACTGACAGTGTTTATTCTCTCTCTGAAGTACCATCCTTCCAGATACCAGCAGAAAAAGTCGCCAGAAAACAAGGACGGTTGCAAAAACTACAAACCCRGTATTCAACCACACCATGGTCTATGATGGCTTTAGACCAGAAGACTTAAGAGAAGCCTGCATAGAACTCACAGTCTGGGATCACAACAAACTAGCAAACCACTTTCTGGGAGGCCTCCGGATAGGCCTTGGAACAGGTACTGGAAAATTACCACATCAATACTTAATTTACAAAACAGTGTTTTCTTCCCCCCCTCCGCCCTTTTCCATTTCTTCTCTTCCAGTCTTTCATTTTGGTCTGCTGAAGAGTTTCACTCAATAATGTACCTATTATCCAGAACAGATCCTGAAGTGTTAATAATAGTAGTGCTGGGAGGGTCAGGATGACTGACAAAGAGAAATATTAGATAAAAACCTTTGTCTGGCCATACATTGTACCTGTACAGTGTTTCAAGCACAAGAATATCCTATTCCTTCACCTAAAATCTGATAATGTCTTACAAACTTACTCATGTAAAAAAGCAGTGTAAAGATAACGTAGGGTGAAAATAAAAAGATAGATCAGGAAGGCAGGATAAGATTTGAAGATATTGAATTAGAAAAATTATCAATACAAACAAGTTTTTTTTTTCATAAAGGCCATAAAAATGTGCAGAAATAATAACAGGAAAAGCATACAATTCTTCTATTTGTCCCTTTCATTCTGCGCACTGACCTGAGGGGAGGATGTGTTTGGTGTCCTCTCAAGAAAGACAATGCAAAAATCRTGTTTCACAAATTAACCTCTTGAATGGTTCACCAGAATAACCTAAATTGCAAATTAGAACGGTAAATCTCATTTTGAATTTCAGAGTACCCAAGGTTGTTGCAAGGTACAAAACCATTATCCTGTTATGTTGTTAAACCTTCTCAGATGTATTGGCAATTGACATATTTTTCTTGGGATTGTGATAAAAAGGCCAAGGATAAAAAGGAAAAAATCTGGACAAAGATGATGAAATTTGTGTGGAAGTGTTGTTAMTTGTATTTGACAGAATTGTTCAAGAGGAAAGATGTAGAACTGGATCTCCAAAGTACTAAGTCAGCTACCTGAGGAGGTGTAACCATTTTAGAGCAGGCAAATTTGATTGCTCACACTTAATTCTGCTGCATATTAAGTAATTATTCTCTTAAAATTACATTTTTATAGGCAAAAGCTATGGAACTACAGTAGATTGGATGGATTCCACTCCAGATGAAACTGCCCTTTGGGAGAAGATGATGAACTCTCCAAACACCTGGATAGAAGATACACTACCTCTCAGGATGCTTATGGTTGCAAAATTGACAAAATAAGGTGCCTTTTTAATTGTTAGTGTCAAAAAGAAACCTTGGGAATGAAATTGGAAGCGTGGAGGTGAAACTGGGAAGAGAAACATAGTAGCTTTTTGACAGCTTTTGCAATGTTACTGTTCCTGTTCTGTGCTGTCAAATGTCACTTTGTATTTCAAATTAAACAACTGCTTGCAGATCATTATGTAAATTTAAGGGATTTCTAAATTTCTTATTAATTGAAAACAACTTCAAGAAACAAGGTGTTTACAGAACTCGGTTTTAGAGGTAGCCGTGGTACCTGGATGACTGTGTTGTCTACCTGAAGCATTGCTGATCCCTTATATGATCTAAATAACCAGCAGAAATATATGAGCAAGTCAACTGTTTCTGTACATTGCTAGGACTGTTCATGAAGTCTTACTGATAAGACAGCAACATTAATGTTAAAGGTCATTACTATGTGTTTGTATCCTCGTTAAGCCATGTTAGATCTCACCAGCATGGAATATGGGCATGAACAGTTTAGCTGTTTGAAAGTTCCTCTACTTCTAATTGTACATTTCTAGGACAGGAAAGTTACTTCCCTCATGAAAGAAGCATGACATGAAGTGGTACTGTCAGTGTCCTATTCTACAAGGTGCAGAGGATTTAGTTCCAATGTACTGTAAAAATCAGGGTTATAAAAAGTTTGMTTTATATATGTGTTAATCATCTTGYTWGCACACAATACTTAGTCTGAAATGCTGAAGATGTAAAGGTGAAACTTTTTTTTTATTCCAGTGCTACTCGAAAGGATCTAAATGTGCCAATTTTARTGATGACAAGTACCTTGAGTATTTATTCTCCTAAGTGCACTTGTTCGTACCTGTAACCATTAGCTTGTTCTTTTGCAAGAAGTGACCTACCTGTGCTTCAGTGCCACCGTTAGGAGGCTGGTGGGGCTGTGGTGGGCTTGGCTTGGTTTTCAGGCATAGGAAATAAGACTGAGGTTTGCAACGTGTAGGAATGCATGTTACTAGTRGATAAATATATAAAATACAACATATATTCATTTTATTTGTTTTTTTTTTAAATAAAATAATCCTATTAAAACTGAATAGGAATTCTGTGTTTATCAAATGCCGGTGGTTTATGTTAGCCCTTCAGCATGCCATGTAACAAAATGCAGACAGAAAATATTTCTGAAAATAAATGCAAGTAGAGGGGAGAAGGGAGCTCTTCACAGCTCYAACTCAATTGCTTGATTTAATCATAGACATTTAAATGCTACTTGGTATTTATTATATAGTATGAATGAAAAAAAAAAGGTAAGATGCTTTTCAACTTGCCAGGGAACACACTTTCTTTGTTATCAACCAGGCACTCTGTGGAGTTTACAARTGTCAAAAGCAGTTGCCTTTGCTATCTTACTGCTTTAGGAGTTTGTTTTGAGACTGGTAACTGCTACAGCTTCCACTTTGCCAGACATGTGCAAAACACTTTTTGACGAGGGAACCTGTGCACATGGCACTTCAGAACAATGTGTTTTTACCAAAATGGTACARCAGCTACTTTGATTCTACATTCTTGAAGAGCGACTCCTGAGACAATTGTGATTCTGAAAAAGAAGAGGCACCTAATGTATTTGTATTCACTGCTTATTTTAATTAGTTTTCCACCTGAAAACATAGGTGACCTCCAGTTTCACAGGAGTAAGCTTTTTGTTGCAGTTGCATTTCCTGTGAAGCTCAAATMTATTGCTAAGACAAAACAGCTTTGGGTTCAGCTGTAGGGATGAGGTCTTAAAACTCCAGATTTTCAGACAAGCATCATGTAATCTCCTGTGTTCTATACTCTACAACATTTCAATACTTAAACTTCACTGCTATCAAAATAAAATATTTGGTTTGTGACAATCTCCTTGTCTTTTGAACAAATAGAAGACATTCTGTTGTCTTGCCATTCTTTCAACCGTCCTAGAGACTAACACTGAATTTTTTTGTATCTCAAAAGACTCTGCATACCACTACACTAATAGATCAAACCTCAAATTTTGAAAAGCTAYGTGAACATGAATGCAAGATTTTTATGCACATTGCACTTGTAATGAACTAGTTTGATGAAATAATGACAGAGAATTACTATGTACCCATCTAGGTTAACTAAGAGACTGAGCCAAGTAACAAAAACTGTCCCTTAAGTACAAAAGTTCCTCCGTCATTTGTATTACCTTTTTTTTTCATAGTGTATAGTATTCCTAACTTCAGTAGTATGATAATATACTAATAGAGAAATGTGAGTTGGAAAGTTTATTAAGACAAAAAGTTTCAAGAAAGTTATTAATTTGTCTCAATTCAAAGCCTTTAGTCACCCATAACCAAAATTTTTAAGATGCATAATTAGCTACTCATTAAAGGGCAGTTTGATAAATTAATAGYTATGCTTTGTCGTAAAGATGAACTGAAATTAAGAATTAAAACAGCCACACTCCTAGAATATATTTGTGTAGATTCRTTCTTGTCTGGAGGAACACAACAGTTCCTTCCTCTCTTCTTCATGTTACAAGTTCATCCTATAATTAGCCCATAATTTTTTTTTTTTTAGTACATATGTGTATATGCATATATACATGTGTGTATATCTTCTAAACTACATTGTTTTCATTTGCTATAAACCAGGCATCAAAGTCCCAGCTCTCCTTCCATGCTCTGTGTTCAGAAACCTCCCATCTTTGCAAGTACAGCTGCAAGCTTAAGTTGGTGCAGCAACTCCCATTGCTTTGATTTCAACCAATTTTGAAATGCTTACTGTGCTCTCCCTCTCTTGTTTGTATCCTTTTCTAGAGGATTCAGCAAAACCTGCACTGATTTTTTCCTTCCAGTTGTATTTATTTTTCCCTTCCCTATCCTGTCTACCAGATTTTTATTAGCTGCTGAATAAAGTTGCAAATTGTTCAGGGCAAGGTCTGTCTTTCTTTACTTTCCATAGCTCTTCAGTGTGTTCTGAGGCCAGAGCCTGTTATTCTGATCTCTCCTGGCGTGTGCAGGGTGTAAGCTGAGAGCGAGGAGTTCTTCAAGCTTGTGGAAATTCTCTTTCCTTTTCCAAGTCTGGGTGCTTTTGAGAGCGTCAACAATGTTTGTTTACTAAGAAACAGTGCCAGTTCTTTCAGCCACCCTGGTGGGCCTGGCCTGGCTCCAACCTGCCTGGATGAGGTCATGAGCTCTGAGGAGTGACTGGATTCAGCATCTTACCTCCATGGAAACAGAACCTCACAATAGGAGAGACAACAAACTGATAGGAGAAAGAAAATACCTGGTGAGAAAAGTTTTCTCTACCTAAACCCTCCTCTTCATTGTATTTCCACTGGATGGCCTAAACCTTTCAGTCCTTCTCCCTCTCCTCCATTACTTGCAAAGGATCCAAGGTAACAACAGCAGTGGGAGAGTGCAGGAGARCGGAGGCAGAGCTGGTGTCTGTATTGACAGTCACTACCACACAGCTTTGAAACTCTGTGGGCTTCACAGGTGTGAATTCATTTCTGCTGTACAGTATTTTTTGTCTTTCTCACGTCCTACCTTAACTTCTGGTCAAAGCCCAGGAGCTCACAAAACCTGATTATTAGCATGCTGTTTCATATGCTGTTTCAGGTCTGCATCCCAATGAAAAACTTGTAGATGAGTTGCAGGCTAATTTTTCTAATGTCGGGATACCATGCTGTGTGATTCAGCACCAATAATCATTTTGGTGCATATGTAACATAAATATTTTCCTTATTTTTACATGAAGATCCAGATTTTTAAAATTTTTAAAATTTTAAAATGCCTAAAATTATCCAGCAGGTTTGTGCGAAAACTCAGATTACAAACTCTCCAGTCTCAGATACTTTGTATCATAGAGTATTCACTAATTATAAACATTGTACACATCTTCTATTTGATTCATAGCTCTAAGCACAGGATAAGGCTATTCAGTTATTTTTAACAAGCAATGCACTATCGTAGAAACCTTGTAAATCAATTAGAAGTTTGACGTAACCCTCCATGTTTTATTTGCAGTTACAATACAGAGTTGTAGGAGAAAATAAAGGCTGAGGAAAAGGATTGTGTAAGGAATCACTTACAGCTTTATCACTTACAAGCTTTTTACCTAAATATAATAGTTCTTGTAGCTACAACAGCAGTGCCTCGAGAAGGAATAATCAGCAAAGCTAGTCATCAGCAAATGAATAGGCTTGCATAAATACTAAGCCCACATTCTTTGCCTTTGCTCATGGAGTCCTRCATCCTTGAGTGTCAGCCTGCCTGACTCTGAGCTAGAGGAGGGGGAGGGCAGCAGGCCTGTGTGGTTGCTGGCTGACATTGGTTTTGGGAGGTCCTGCTCCCTCACATCAGTTTCTCTGGAGTTCCAGAGAAAGGCCACCATCTTATGGCAGCAGTGTTGGCCACACAACCACTGGGCAGCATTTAATCATGCTGAGTGCCACTAACAGAAGCAGCCACTATAAAATTTTGTCTTGAGACAGGGTTCCATGGCTCAGGAGAGAGCAGCAGTGATAGCCAGCTCCACAGGTGATCCAGAGACAGGAAAAGACATAGAAGATGTGACAAGAGGACTGGAGGAACTCTGTGAAAGCCCTAAGCAGAGCAGTGAGGAGGCACTGCTGCTTTCACACCTTGAACAGCAGCATCAATTTACCTCTATGCTCAAGAAGAGAGTGGACAATGCACACAAACACTGGAGGGGCCTGGAGCAGCTCAACATGGAGCTGGAGAAACTGAGAGTAGAGGATGCTGTGCAAATTAAAACCCAAAGCCTGCAGATTCAGTATTTGTAAGGGCGCTTCATAGATCTGGCCAATAATCATGAAAAAATGATCCAGTTCAAAAATGAACACAGGAAACAGCCCATACTGCTGTGGGAGGAGAACAAGCGCCTGTGGCAGGAGAGGAAGCACTCTTCAGCCAAGCTGTGAGGGAGAAGGAAGCTGAAATGCTCCAGCTGACTGCCCAGGCCAGGAAGCTCTCGCAGCAGTTACACCCCTTGCATAAGAAATATGCTTATGAGAGACAACGATCCCAGGAGCAAGAGAAGCTGCTGGAGGCTCAGAGACAGCAAACCTATGGATTCACTGAAGAAGCAGCTGCAATTCCTGCAGAAGAACCACCAACAAACTGCTGCAAGGGCAGAGCAGGCAGAAAGTCAGCAGAGGGCTCAGGGCAGTGAGCTGCAGGCCAAGCTGGAGAGGGCACATGAAGAGAAAGAGTAACTACTGAACCCGGTCATGGAGAGGGCAAGGCTCTGCAAGATAAGGAACAGGAGATTCAGCAGCTGGAGGAGAAGCTGGAGACTCTGGAAGAAGCCATGCAGAGAGCAGGAAGGTGCCTCAAGAAAGAGGCAGCACCAGTAGACAAAGATCTGAAGGTTCAAGAGCTCCAAGGACAGCTAGAGCAYAGCAAGCTGGCATGCAATGAGCTTTTGCTCCGGTTCAATGCTTACAGGAAGCACAGTATGGATTTGCTGACTGAAGAGAGAGCTCTGAATTTCAGACTCTGTTGCCTAACTGCAGTTTCTTCTCTGTTCTCCTCTCAAAAGGTGCCTCTATGGTAACATATTTTGTTCCTTTCCATGGGACCATCCTCTGGTTTCCTTATACCATCCTGCCAGCTTAAACCAAGGGCAGTTCTGTAGCCTTTTTGTCATCACGTCATTTTACGAAAGTAAATCACTACACTCTTAAATCTGAACACGGATCATTGAACCAATCAAACCTGTGACGTGAATGATTAGGGTGGAAAACATAAAACATGAATTTGATTTATTTGGTCCTAACCTTTGCTGAATCATAGGTTTTCAGTTTTTTACTGTTAAAAGCACTTTATTTTWCAAGATGTGCAAAAGCTTTAACCCTTAGCCTTCTGTATTTTTTTTCTTCTTTGAAATTTAATAGAGGCTGGGCATGTAAGAGGCTCTGAGGCTTCAAGAAAGAAATCCTACCTTGCAAGGTCTTTGCCAAAACTGTTAAAATTCAGGAACTTAACAGGTAATCCAATAGTATCATACAAAAACTGATGCTTAAGCAAATTACTGTTTAGAGTTTTCTAGTAGTGTTACAGGTTTTTCTGCAGTTGGCTAAACCTTATTTAATGCCATAGCATTATGTATATCCCCATTCAGCTCAGAACAAATGGCCCAGTCTTTTGGGTGTTTTCAATAATCTTTGGACCAGGATGATGTTCTAGATGTTGCACTAGATTTTTTTTTTTGTTTTTTTTGGTTTTTTTTTTCTGTTTTGTTTTCTGTAGAGAAATATTAGTGACACTATTCCATTTTGTGCATGTCTGTCAGTTTTTCACAAAAAGAGAAATCTTTCACTGTGGGATACAGAGACCTCCCACTCTCTCTTAGCTGCCTCTGAGTCAAGATGGAAGCTTTTTGCTGCTGAGTTTCAGCTTCTGCTCTCTAAGTCTCCAACAAAAAAACAACCATGATGGGCCTAATAGCATTCCCCACCTGGCCTGKGATAACTCAAGGATTTAGATAATGGTTTGAGTATCCCTTGGTCCTGAGTATCTACGAGCCATAGCACAGTATCAAACCTGGTATCTAATGGGCTCATTTACAGACATGACCAGAAGCAGCAGGTCTGGAGGCCAGTGACCAGTTCATCTCAAGGTCTGGCATAACCAGATGTAGTTTCTGGMTCTGGCACAGGTTTCCCAGAGGAGCTGTGGATGTCCCCCAACCCTGGAAGTGTTCAAGGTGAGGTTGGATGAGTCTSAGCAAACTGGYCTRGTGAAAGTTTTACCTGCCCAGGGCAGGAGGGTTGGAACTAGGTGATTTTTAGGGTCCCTTTCAACCCAAACCATTCTTTGATTCTGTGATTCTGACTCTACATGAGCAAAACCTGCCAGCAGCCCTGTCTTCTGAACTTCCCTGGACTGTCCTTGAATCTAGGAAAAGCCAGGTGAGACGTACCTGCTACCTGCTGCGTAATGAACCACAGCATTTCTTCTGATCCTGGCTCCTACAAGTGTCATTCCAAACATGTTTCATGGACCACATCCTCCTACTTTTTAACCATATTTCCCTGCTCCAAGGGGCGCACCCCACATGCACATTTAGTTAATCTCAGYGCTGGCATGTACAGTGTAAATGCCGACTGACCCATGCTACACACTWTGCCCTTGGTCTGAGGAAGGAATAGAGCAGACTGCTCTGCTTGAATTAGTCCTTAGGCAATGAGGAATACCTGGGTCCCTCTGGTCATTGCCAGAAACCCTGAAACCAGGTGCCTAAATACTCTAAATCCGGGCAGAGGATGCTCCCTTGCCGTGACAGAACAGCCCCACAGGCTTCCAGCCCAGCCTCAGCCATGGGTCTGGTGGGGAAAACCCCAAATTCTGCATCCTCAGGGACATTCCCCTTCCCACCCCTTTGCAAAGTCTGTGTGTGAGACCCTCACCCCGAGTCCCTCACACACCCATACCCTGTCACTTCCCCCATTGTCTCCTTCACCCCCCATCTCACCCCTCCTTGTACACCCGCATTTCCTACACCCTGCYATCACCCTGACCACACATATCTCCTCCCACACCTGCCACCCTGCTGTCCACAAAAATCGGATTTGTTACSTGGTGTGCAACARGCCAATTATTACATATGTGAGAAAGACACTGATTATTTATTTCAGAGTTGCACAAGCCTGGATGCTCCTTGGTATTGCACAAATCAAACATACCAACTATCAAAACTTTTTACTATTTGTAAGTTTTAGCAAACAAGAGAATTGTGTTACAAACTGTAAGTTACCTWGTTCTCCTATTTATTAGCAATCTATCAGTTAATTACTCACTTGCCTCTCATGCTAATTAATCTGCATGCTCATTCTTTCTGTGTTTTTTTGGTCGATTGTCCCTGAGTCGGTGGCTGGGATCTCCCCCTGCTGGAATTATGTTTTACCCGATTGGAGCTGATTTAATTACAGTTGCTGAGCTGGGTTTATTAATTTCTTCCTTATCTTGGGAGTTCTGCCAGATGTCCTCGTGGCCCGTAAATTCTGCATTCTTTGTGCCCACTATCAGCGGTACATCCTCCTTCCCAAGCTTTGTTAACCTCCCCCTGCGTCTRAGGTCATTCAAACACGTTGAAACATGAAACATTTTACTGACATTAAATTTGTCTTTCTAACACCTGGAAATCCCTTGGAGTTTCTTGGCCGCTCTGTTTCCGAGGATTAAACTTGAAAATACGAAGACCAAACGTCAAAAAGACCCGTCTCTTAAGAAAATGTTTACACAATCCACATTTTGTAGTGGCTCCCCCCTCTCCCCACACATTCCCAGACGCCGCCATCCCGCGCGGGCACGCGCAAGGCGCTCCCCCCCGCTCCGCCCCCCGCTTCCCGACAGCCCCCGCGGCGCGAGCGCCGGGCCGCAGCCTCGCGCCGCCCGCTCCCTTCTGCCGCCGCTCCCGCCATGCGCCACAGCCTCACGCAGCTGCTGGCGGCCTCGGCCGGCGGGACCAGCCCCTCGGGCGCCGTCTGGCCGCTGGCCGGAGCGGGACAGGCCCCGCGAGGGCGGGATGGCGGCGGGGAAGGGGACCCGGGCCCCGCGCGGCCCAAGYCGCAGCCGCCGCCGCGGCGGGAGCCCCCGGGTTTCTCGGAGCCGCGGCGGCAGGACAAGGAGGCCGAGGCGCCCGGCGGCCCGCTGGAGGTGTGGGAGCAAGAGGACTGGTTCCCGGGGCTGGAGCTGGGAGATCTGCTGGAGGCGGCCCGGCCGGACTGGGACYTGGACGCGGAGCTGAGCGGCTGCTTCTGTGGGGACCCGGAGCCGCTGCCCGCGCCGGGCCAAGGCCCGCGGCCGGCGGCGCCCGGGCGGAGGAGCGGCGGRGCCGGGAGCCGGCTGAAAGCTGCGGCGGCGGCGCGGTTGAACCGGCTGAAGAAGAAGCAGTACGTGCTGGGGCTGGAGAGCCGCCTGCAGGGCCTGGCTGCCGAGAACCGGCAGCTGCGGGACCGCAACCGCGGCCTGAGTCGCCGCCTGCGAGAGCTGGAGCGGGAGAGCAGCTACCTGCGGGCTGTGCTGGCGAACCAGAGCGCGCTGGGGCAGCTCCTGAGCCGCCTGGCCGGGACCCGCGCCGGCGGGCTGCAGCTCAGCACCAGCCTCTTCAGGGACACGGGCAACCCCCGCCGCCAGCAGCAGCACCTCCAGCCCGCCGGCGAGAGCAGCGACCACGACTACGCCCTGCCCAGCTCCCGGCCCCGCGGCCTGGAGGAGGCGGCGGCGGCGGTGACTGAGACGGAGGAGGAGTGGGCGGCCCCCGGCGGGATCTGCTTGCACGTGGACCGGGATCAGGTGTCGGTGGAGTTCTGCTCCATCTGTGCTCGGCGGGCAGCGGCCTCCTTCAAAATGTAGGGTCAAGTACCTGCTGCAAGTACTCGTGGGGTTCTCACCCCTAAGGGCCTCGCGTCGCGGCGGAGGAAGCAGGCGATGGTGCGGAGGAAAAGAATCCATACAGTGGTGATGGGGTGGTATTGGGGGAGATGCAAAGGAGGGGGACCTGGCGCTTATTTAAGTGGCCAGGGTAACAAAAAAATTCAGTGGAACGGCACGTTGGGAGCCAGACGGTGGCCTTGGGTCAAGGTCCTGTAAATCTGGCGTGTGGACGGTAGTGGTGTGAGCCTGTTTGGCGATGGGAGTCGCGCAGAGCTGTGCGCAGCAGTGCGACAGTGGTCGTGCAGACTGACACGCGCGTGGTGCACACGCGGAGGTGCCGCCAGAGCCCGTTCGCAGCACTTGGGTGAAAAGATCATGCCGACCTGATGCATGAAGGTGTGCTCGGCTCCACTTCGCAGTAAAGATAATGCTGACTACCCGGTCTTGAGTCAGATAATGTCTAGCCTGCTTATCCTGAGGAGCCGAAAATGCTTGCTTAGAAAACCRAACAAAAACTCCATTATGACATCGTCACTGGACAGACTTAAGAAAATAGTAATGATCGGCAAAAGAAAGCATGCATATAAAATTGTACTGCATCTCAGTTATACATTACTATTAAAACCTCTCTGACAGTTTCTCTTTTAGGTGCTTGCCCTGCCAGGCTCCGTTGTGTAGGGGTTAAAGAACAGTCGTTTTCCACCTCGCAACCTGGTAAGGATCAATATATTCCCATAATGTGGTATCAGACAGCTTGCTTTGCTTATCCCAGTCTCTTGTAATGACTGGTTCAGAAAATTATTTCTCTGGTCCTTGGCCTACTCTGCCAAAATGTTTCTAGTTCTGGATGACAACTAATAGTAAAGGTTATCCTCACATCATTCTCATTAGCAGTTTTCCTCTTTACGTTTTGAAACATGTTGGCTACACAGTAGCTACGTTTTGAATTTTAAAAAAATGCTCATGCCATTTGAAATAGAAATTTCCTATTAAGCAAAGTATGTGATGAATTGAAAAAGAAAATATGCTAATAAGGGGGATGTRATATTTATAGCGTTTTATACAGGTGACTGTCCCAAAAGTTTAAGTAAATTTCTTTTTTAATGAAAAAAAAAAGGAATCTGTGCCCTGTTGATTTAAAATGTTGTCTAGTGTTAGGGATAAACGGTACCTTTT